GTAGCTGCGTTCACTATCCGTATGCTTATGTGGCATCAATACCATGGTTTATATTTCCCTAGCGTAACTAAAACCATTTGGTTCGTTTTGCGCCATGGGAATTCACGATCCATAGACATCCGAGTCCAAGATGAAGAATCAGTGCGAAGACCCGTGAATACAACTAACACAACCGAACGCACAGGTTGGTGTATTGAGCTGTGGTAGCTTGCAAGCAAGTACACTCAGTTGATTAGCTCATCACAGCTCGAGCTGAAACGATCAGCTAAAGCGTGCAACAAGATTAAAGGGGCTGTTGTTCAAAAGTACACATTGCTTTTCATTTCACTTGGGATGATAACGCTTGAGATGCTCACGTACTTCCGGATGAGCTCTCATTTGTCGTCTTGTGTGACGATTCGGTTGGGAGATTTATGCAGCTTTTCAAAAATACACTTAGTTTGCCGGAAATACCAAGACTGGCTTTATAAGTTTAGTGAAGACCGCGTTGTTATTTTTCTTATCCTCACGCAATATTGAGCAGCTTTCCGGGTTCTTTTTCATATTTCGTCGTTCATTGAGATATTTGCTAAAGTGTGGCGAAACACGTGATCGATGATATTCCCGATTCCAGGAAAAGCTTGTCTCGAAAGAAATTATGAGGCTGGAGGATGCAACCCTGAACTCATCTGCACCTTCGGATGAATCAGAACGTAAAGAATCATTTTCGGATAAGGCAGTGTTGCAGAAACAAACAACGGATATAACAGGTAAGTTGATGATAGTAGGCTTTATAAGAAGCGCATTTCTACTTAGGACACATTGGCTTCTTTCTAGGTTCATTAGGCTTCAGCTTTTTCTGTTCCGTGAAGTGTACTAGCCTAATGGTTAAGTTCTATGTAAAAATTAATACCACACAGTCGGAGCTCCAGCTCTTTCACCTGGATCAGAAACTAAATAGAATGATGGATGACAGATATGGAAGCATGGCATCAGTCAGGATGAATCCGCTTATGTCGGCTAATCATCACGTGGCCGAGAATATCCCTTACGTTTTAGCGCATCTAGCGGGTGTTTGAAGGGGTTTATCGCGTTTCTGTGGGGTTGAACTGAGAGAGCCAAGGGACCGTAGCACATCCAGTGCACAGCTGAGAAGGAGTGTTTTGTCATTAATTGTTCCGTTTATGCTAAGCAAAGCAGGCACGTCCGGTTGCGCGCCCCTATGTATGAATCAGTGATCTATTGCCAGAGGTCATGAGTACTGGCCAAATGTGAGTTTTTAGGTCGGTTATTTTGGTTATCTGTGGCTACCTGAGATGGCAGTAACTTGCACCAGGTCGTCGTGGGCACAAAGGTCATGTGGATTAGTTCAATCTGACTTGGAGAAGCAACGATTCCGATGATCACAATGGTCTTTGTTGCACAGACGGTGCCGTACTGAGAATGCTAAACGCTTACAGCTTCCTTCAGGAGTACTACATTCGGAGCTGCTGCTGCGTGGGGCAATTGAAGGCATCCCCTGATTGACCTGCCGTGGTCGACTGCAGCAGATTGATGTTTCTTCCGAATCGAACAATAAGCAAGGACAGCGAGTCTCTTGCATGCGGTGAACTTTTACTTACTACGTTTTCGCTTACATCTGGAGTTATATCTGTCTCTTCGACGGCAGTTCATCACAGACTGGCTTCAAATCAAATCTCTCTTTATTTATATATGAACAGCTGTTGGTTGATGGACAGAAGAGATTACGAAACATTTACCTTTGACTCCAGGAACGTCGGCTGTGTAAGAAGTGTCCACCTATATAGAACTGTTTTCTGTGTAAGTATTTCATGGGTGCGTGACCGTCTCCTAGCGCAGAAAAAGCAAAGTTGCAGCATCCTAAGCGACAATACAAGGACGACTTTCAGTTGTCAATACACTCCTGATTGAGAACACAAACTAATTTCTGTTAGTAATCGATTCCGAACGGTTAACTGAAGACGTAACCATTTCCACGCATTGCTGTCACTGTTGCGGTAACGTATAGTTACGAACCTGTTACAGTGTGGCTGCTTCGCAGTAAACATTATTTAAGTGCATTCAACATTCTGGCTCATGATGGCGCATTCGAAGCAATTCAGCTATGAGTAAGTTGGACAAAATTTGAACTTGCCTGACATACTCAATGCAACTATTTCACACACACAAAGGACGATTTGTGAGACCACTGTTTTCAGGACAAATGAAAGCTCTTATGTTGTTCAAGTGTGGCTCGTTTCCCAGTCTGTATCCGAACGTTCTTCATAGGTCCCACTTAGTTCCGAACACTTGCAAGTGTCAGACACTCTTCGTATCATTTAGGTATCCCTACTATTTGCGCTTATGTGGTGTTCGAAGCAGTGAGTATTCTCAAGGTCCCTGTCTAGATGGTTAAATCCGTGAAAACTATTAGCGCTACTGGTGAGATGCCTTATGCTCGTCTTCCCCACAGACGAAACCTGCCTTTACATCTGCGTCATTGACACTTGAAGCCTCCACTCAGTATCCATCAAATTCCTCTCACCGATCAACCATCTCCTTTATTTTCCAAATAGTTGGAGGCTGTTGTTTGACCCGTCAAAGTTCACCAAGAATTATCCTTCTGAAAAATCAACACAAAAGGCCTGAAGAGCTCAGGTAAGTGATTTTTCACACTTTACGCAAAACAATTTGAAAGCAATCCACGTAAGATTCAGGTGTGGATTGATCATTGGTCGATCATTTCTTTGGTTGAAAGTGTAGCATGTAAACAATTGGCGCGCACAGTATATTTGTACCATAGTTTGTGCCTGAATGTCCCCGACAAAAATGAGCTACAACGCTGAAGTCTACAGATTCCAACTGGTCTGAAACGGAACCACTGAATACGTGTCACTGAGGAGGAATTTCTGAGGTTCTATTGGTAACAATCGGTGGTATTTGTTGCACGTGAATGAAGAAGCATTTTCCTGCACACCATGTGGAACAATAAACGGTGCCGAATATGTGTGGCTGCAATCTAACTGACTCTCAACCAAGAGACGTAAAGCGTTGTAAAGCATCGACAGACATTAAAAATTAAAGACTGTGGTTACCGGATTTGGAAATAGTTGTTACTGGTGTAGGTTTGTTTTTACTACCAGTCTTCCACAGATGACACACGGATTTTTACACTGAAGTTTACTAGACCAGTGAAATGGTGAAGTTGTGCATTTGGAATGCACGCATATATCAAATAACACTTTGTAGAAGTGGAGATTAACTCCCTTTCAAGGACAGTCTTTACGTATGCTATATGTGTACCGAGATGCATAGTCAGGATCACCTTGTTCTATGTTCACCAGCCGAAAGCCCGGTTTCTAAGTGAGAATCGTTACCAGAAGTGTTAAGTTATGTTGTATATTTCGCATCCAGACATTAAATTCAGCTCACATAGAGTCAGTCGAAAGCCTCTTAAAGTGTTTTCTTGTATCGGACCTGGCCTAGAAACTATCTAGATACTATTGTGCATGTCAAAAACAACTGTCAACATTCGTTTACCTGTTCTCAAGCACTCAGATGTCCTGATAAATTCAGTTCATGTACTAAATCAAGAATTTGCTTCAGTACCTATTCGCCATGTACGCAAGTTTAGTTGCTTGCCTCTCGGCTCTGAGGTAAAAGGCAAAGAATAACAACTGGGACGGCAAATCCCATTACATCCAAATTAAGGGTCCCAATCAGGTTGAAAAGTGTTTTCTTCACCACTAACAACATTTTGCATCTAAAATTAGTCTAAGGACGCTCTTGGATTGCTACTCTGAAGTAGAAAACGGGTACAAGGCAACTGTATTAAGCATGCTTGCAATTCCTGTCGCTGGTTCTTTTCTTCTCTCTGGATTTAAAAAGAAAGTTCTTCAGCCTTCTCAACTAAATGTATTTTGTTTTCAAAATCCAATCTGGTTTTAACGCGTGGAGGGCTAGATCTTTGGCCTAACCCGGAAGGTAAATTGCATGCAGACCTCTCTAGTTCCCGTACGTCCCATCGCCAAGTTCCTAATTTTCATTAAATTAACTCTGGTATGTGATCTATACCGACCAGAGGATAAGCCAATGAAAACATATTCCAACGCATTTCTACGCATAACTTTCATGCAGATACTCAAACTCTGGAGCAGCTCAAGAGAAGGTTGCAATTGGAACCACGACGGGGGCGATCTTCGTGTTCGCCAATACATCTGCTACCCAGGCTGAATGGGTATGGTCACAGGCACATCAGTTGCCTGTGAGTAACCTTCAGTGGAATCCAATCGTTGTGGAGGTTTTGATGTCCTGTTCAGCCGATTGGACAGTCAAATTTTGGACTCCGGGCAATGAGTAAGTCGAGCAGATAATTATGGTTGACTGTTGTGAGTTGGACCATGGGCCGCCTGTTTCGTACGCTTCTACAGGTGTAAACATCAAGGGCACACCAAGGGAGGAAGTAAGGATCCTATCTTGGTGCTGAATCGGTGCATTCCCAGTAAAGGAAATCAAGGATGTAGGTAATCGAAAACGAGAGCTAAAACCCATTTTAGAGAGTTCAAGAAGCACAGTGTTCTCAAGTCAATACTTGGGCTTTCCTAGGCGTCGTTCATACAGTTGATGGCAATGAACAAGCAATGAGCACCGAAATGTTCTTCAACTTGGCCTCGTATCAGCTGTGACGCAGTCCTTTTCTAATGCTTGCAGTATTTTTCGGAAGTACGCCTCCTTATACCTGTAGTGAGTCCGGTACAACTCCGGGAAGCACATTACGTTGGTTAGAAAGGCATATGACGTGGTGACATGAATCAAATAATTCCTAGTAGGAGTGCCACACTGATTCTGTTTTTATGCTTCCCAAGAAAGAAAAATAGGAGTTGACAAGATCTGGGATCAGAAGACTGCGAAAGTCGGATTGATGCTCATTTTGCCAGGCCCGTCAGCAATGATTAGGATAGATCCTTCAAATTTATCTAAAGGCCGGTACCCTAGGGCAAAAAACATCGTGTCCATGAGCGGTGTAAATGACATCTCCAAAAATATACAAGTTGGATACAAATAAGAGTATCACCAGGCCGTTTTGTTCCCGATCATGTTTGAGGCATAAGCGAAGAAAAATCTACCTCAAGCTTCTTGAAATCGAAGAGCATTTGCGGTTCTTCTATTTGTATTCCCGCGGAAAAGTGACCTTCGCTAGAGTTTCAACAACCTGACTCTGGACCAGGCTTGTTTCATTTGGAACCTCTAGTGCATATCACACGGGACATGTCAGGCGGAATTGTAAATTGGTGCCCAAGTTTCCCTTGTTCGATAGGCTAGATACACTGGTAGTTGATCAGTGAGCTGTTGATCTGTTCGCCGAGCCTGGCAGCTGCCAACATCCACCCCGATCCATTACCAGTAAACGCGGCCGAGCTACCAGTATTGCGATACATTTGTAGGATTAATAGACGTTTAATTTCAGGACATTAGGAACCTTTTTCGGCAATCTAGGTGCAACTTTTCGAAGTATGTTAACTACGTTTGTTGTTTAAAATTTCCGTTGAAACAACAGAATGGCACTACTGGTTTTGGACCTGTTTGACCCAGTCATGGACGTGGCATGGGCTCCATATTCCTCCAGCGTTTTCGCAACACTCACATTTGAAGGCCGAGTGGAAATGTACGATCTAATGTTCAGCAAAACGCAACCCATAGCCACGCACCTAATCGGGTGCGCCAAATTCCCTGTGAAGGGAACCAGGCTGTCGTTCAATCCGATACTCCCTCTGCTGTTTGTTGGTGACAGTAGGTAAGTTTTTCTGTTCGCCACACAATGAATGGCAGGCGTGCATCAAAAGTGAAGTTTTCCTTCAGTTCTAGCATATAACTTGTGTACACGGGTAGTGAACAATTATTGATCCCCGGGTGTTTCATTGAGGAGAGCGGGTAGTCGTTTCACCCTTAACAGTCCCATCATAGCTACCAACGCTATGAATGTGCCGAGATACATTGTTCAGACCTAGCGGCTGCTAACTTAAAATGACTTTGAACCACTTCACGTTGTCAGCCTCATCTACGTGTGCCGAGAGATGGCGCCAGTCGACCTGACAGTCAATATGCATTAGACAATTCCTCTGTTTGCTAAATCTCCAAGTTAATTTGTCTTTTCATGTTGTGAACTTTACCGGTAGAATCAACCTCAGGAATCCACGCTACCGTTCGACGACGCCTGTATTTAATATCAAAGAGCTGTAGAGCGTAGTCTCTTTATCTCATATTCTCGACTGGTACCTATCCTTCGTAACTGTTCTAGTTGATATGCCTCTTGCGTGCATGAGTAGTATGCATGAATGGTTGGATATATGTCACGTTAAGCAAACAGGAAAGCGTCAAACTCGGTGCGTAAAAAGTTCCCTTTAGCACTCAGAGAGGTGTTGGTAGCAAGGGTTGTATGGGTGTTTGGTATTCTGTTCACTGAGCGTGGTGATTACTCAGTTCACCAACATGTCGCACCAAGACCTCCTCCATTTCGTTATGTTTTGATCCTTCTAGTTATGCCAACTGTGCTTCTCCTGTTTGTCAGCTGATGTCGTATGGCCTAGTTCCTGGCGTTCCCCAATCCTGGTCGTCTGGTTTTGACTTTCCTGCTCCGTTAAGTATACGTGAAAACGTGTACATTTATCAACACCACATCGATATGAATCATAAAAGTGGCATTCATCTGTCTATTTTGGTATCAAGCCGGCGGGCTTTCGAGCACTAGCTTTGTCTACACCCATCGCAAACACCGCATTGCATCTCCTGGACTCTTTGTCGGCAGTTTGCAAGAGTAAAGATGACAGATGGCTAGTCTCCGCCAAACTTGAATTTAACGACCATCTTTCGTATCTTCCTACCTAACTTCAACTGAATTTCTTCCTCGGATTGGATCAGTTGACTCTTCTCCTTAGCGACCTTCACCTTGCATAAAGACCCGAAACGCGCACACAGTCAAAAAATAATGTGACCGTCCACGACGTCAACATAAAAATCCCAGGTTGGCAGAAGCTGATCAGATACAATAGTGACTGAGGAAACGAGGGATAATCACGGGATGTAATTTGGAAGTAGCATCCAGTAAGAATGACAGATACTTTACTCTTTATCGTGTTAACATTAGCTTCCCTTGCGACCCGCTGGGGAATTTATGAACCAGGTAAGAAACGCTTATTTCTGGTTCACGGGCTCAAAGCGCAAAACATGCTTAAAAGTAAGACCTACGGAAAAGTGCAAAACAGTGCTTGTGGGTACTATACGAGTTCAAGTTCACATCGCCCTCACTTAAATAGTTATCTTCCTGCCCTGGCGCAATTATTTTGCTGAGACCACACCACAGAGAGGAAGCACTGAACTGTTGCTGAGCTCTAACTGGAACGAAATACAAGTCCAGTACCCCTCATTTTGGTATGGATTCATCAGAATAATTGCCCAGCATGGCAACCTAACCTATGGTTTAACAACGTAAGATTAGTAGACTGTTAGTAAAAAGTTAGTAAAAGGGTATGAATCATACAGGTCATTTTTCAATAGGACACATAATTCTAGCGTGTTTTGTGTTCTACCAACTTTCTTGCAGTTCATCTGATAAATCTTGTACAGAGAGTTCTCCTTTTCAAGAAAAACTACTAATCCTTTTATGGACAGGATTTATCCGCACACTGGCGGTAGCGAAGCTGTATGGATACCTGTCGAACAGAAAGCAAAACCATTATTTACGTGGTTTTATAGTTTATCCTCTGGATCTTTTGTTCCTTCAGGCATTTTGGAAACCTTCAGGTTCGTGACGTTTAAACAAACGATATGTTGAACAGTATCAATGGGGATATCCACTGCCGTGGCAGCTAATTATCTGCTAATTTCGTAATTTGGTCCGGCACAAACTCTGTACAAATTTGAGAACTGATTATTACGTCCACACTAGTAAACTCGAATGCGCCAAACAGCATTATTCACGTTGTCTATGACATTATCGTTTGCTGCCAACTTCAATTGGTGTACCTTAAATACTGACCTTGAATGGTTCCGTATCCATGACACTGAAATAGCTTGATACTTCAGTGACAACACTTGTCTAAAAGAGAAACGAGCCTTATTTTGCTACTTTAAGCAAAAGAAATGCTTTACGCCCCTAAAGAGCAGCAAATTTCCTTGAGAAAGTAGTTTTTTGTCTTTGTTTGTGACCTAACTTCGGAGCATCTAGTGGGGACTTTAATTGGACCGTCACAATGGTGATCCACGTTCTTATCAAATCAGTAGCTTCTGGTAATCAGTCAGCTTCGGATTTAGACATGTTCTCGGAGCATAAAACTAGGCATCATTTTTCTAAATTTTTACAATGATCTGGTTAGACAACAAAATTGTTTATATTACTGATATTCTGTCGTGTTTGTTTGTTCATATCAACAGAGGCGATGTGATCACGTTAAAGCTGTCACCAAACCTGATTCTGCGTCGTGTTCTTTCGGTAAGTGAATGCGTAAATCACACTATGAAAATGTTCCAAAATTCTATTCAAATCAGAAACTGATCGCTTCGGTTACCTGATGAATAGGACACTCTCATTCTGTCTAACCCCCAACCTAGACACTTCTTTCAATGCTTGTCTGATTATTTTTTCAAAAGTGTGCAGTCGTTCTGGTAGCCGTAGTCACTAACCCATGAAAAAGGATGAACTATGAGAGAACATTGATATAGACAAGCCTCTGAAAGTAAATTCATGAAGTTAAAATAGCTAGGGCTGTTTGCTTTGTGGTTAAGCCATATCTATCAGTCTCCAAACACTGGTTGAGTGAGGCGTTAGCTTCCCATGCACAACATACACCCAATCGACCACGGCCTGGAGTTAGGTGTTTGGTGGCTCCCGGCCACCTCACAACCCATCCAACATTTCCTTTCTTCCACCGTAATCCTGGTGGGATGTAAGAGGCGTGTCTACGCAAACTTTTTTGTGGAATGCGTGTCGCATACGTCAACCAAGGTAACTGTCGGTCGAACGTCCATTGAACAACTTTCCAAATGACTGACAACGAAACTGAAAATAAGGTGCCTCTAACGCACGTGAAATCCAACATAGACCTTTTTGTCCGGAGCAAAAACGTCAAAACCACTGGTTGTTCAGCCGTACTGAGCAATCTTCGTTTTGTTCAGGGGCTAATACTGTTTAGAAGGAAGGCTGAATATATTTTTTCCTGTTCTATTACTCACTCCCCAGCCATAGTAATGGCAGAAGAAATACTGATGTATTACCATACTTTCGTACTCAGCTGGGTTTTGACAACTAGATTGGGTAGCGCCTATTTCTAACCCTGAGGTTCGAAGTGCATCCCAGTGACGCTTGATGTTTTGATCGGGTACGTGCAAAGTAGCCTGACTTTATCAACGTCCACTATGACTATGGAATATCTCAACTGCCACGACTGTGGAGGACTGCAACCCTGCCGGGCAGCACTTTTAGCAATTGACTCATGAATAAGTGCTCCGTAACCTTACGACGTTTACTGACGTTGGTTATTATGAGAGTTAGGGCAAAGTAACTCATTCAGGATCTTGGTTGTAGGCCTCGAGAAAAAACGGCCTGCTAACAAAAACACAGCTTTCAGACCTAGTAAATGGGAATTTTTCGGACGTGATGATTTCCAAATAATCGTTAGTGATTGAAGAAATGACAACCTCTTCGTCATCTGAATGAGACACTATCTGATTTTCAATGCTCGGTAGGTCTTTTATTCTTCTGGGTCTTCAACAAAAGACATCCGTAGGACATTTTGAAGCAGGTCATAATTAGACAGATATTTTTGCGGTTAAAGCCCTTCATTCTAGCACGTTTTTAAAGTCAGAAAGATATATGGGAGGCGCTGTTTCTCAGACACTGGTGGTTGTTTCCATATAGCAATACATATAACTTCCCCGAACATTGCACGTGGGAAATAATCTGCAAGAGAATCCTTACTTTTTTTCGAAAGGTTGGGTTTTTAATAGATTTCTCCAGAGAGAGTTCCGAATTCACCTTTCCGTCTAACAAAACAGGCTGATGATAAATGTGGTGGAGCGGAACGTTGTTAATAGCGGCCTTGTGAAGGTATAATGGATAGAACTTTTGCTTTCCGTCCTTTCAAATGAGCTTAAGTGGGAAGTCGCTCTTTCAGAGAGCAAAGACTTTTCAGTTTCCCCGGGCTATTTCAATCTCTTGCTGACTATTTTTCACCAATTTTAGTGAGAAATAATTAGGAGCAAAATATTCTGACGATAGATCTGCGGACTCATGCAATGACAGCCTGTACAGCACACATTTTCTGGTCACTGTTAATTTATCACAGACTTGACTATAGGAAATGTGTGGGGTCACGCCTCACAATGTTCGGAAAAAAAAGTTCAATTTCAACTTCAAACGAACGAAAATGCACTGTAAGAACTCAACGGCAAAGAGGTCTTTCATTTCGAAAGTGGTGTCTGAAATAGTAGTGAGAACACCTTCCAGTTTTTTTAGGACGAAAGTGTTCACACGTCTCTTTGCACCCTGTTGGTAATCTTTTTATTTTTATATGTGCTCTGATAGCATGTTTGACAAGTGGGAGGTTATGCACGTTCCCTTGTTTCCATGTACCCATGTTGTTAAACATTGTGATGTGACGTGAAACGTGCCACCTTGCTTTGAAATAATTTACAACACGCATATCAAGCGACTTTTTACCGTATCAATGAAACCGTGGCAGATGCACTACCATATAGTGTTTAGACGCCGACCCACATTGTCTGAGCACGTGGTAAGCCTTATACTATTCAGTTGTGATTTCCATCTTTAGTCAATCTCACAGTTTATCTTACGACACTGGTGGTTGTTTCCGTATAGCAATACACATAACTTCCCCAAACATTGCACGTGGGAAATAATCTGGAAGAGAATCCTTACTTTTTTCGAAAGGTTGGGTTTTTAATAGATTTCTCCAGAGAGAGTTCCGAATTCACCTTTCCGTCTAACAAAACAGGCTGATGATAAATGTGGTGGAGCGGAACGTTGTTAATAGCGGCCTTGTGAAGGTATAATGGATAGAACTTTTGCTTTCCGTCCTTTCAAATGAGCTTAAGTGGGAAGTCGCTCTTTCAGAGAGCAAAGACTTTTCAGTTTCCCCGGGCTATTTCAATCTCTTGCTGACTATTTTTCACCAATTTTAGTGAGAAATAATTAGGAGCAAAATATTCTGACGATAGATCTGCGGACTCATGCAATGACAGCCTGTACAGCACATATTTTCTGGTCACTGTTAATTTATCACAGACTTGACTATAGGAAATGTGTGGGGTCACGCCTCACAATGTTTGGAAAAAAAAGTTCAATTTCAACTTCAAACGAACGAAAATGCACTGTAAGAACTCAACGGCAAAGAGGTCTTTCATTTCGAAAGTGGTGTCTGAAATAGTAGTGAGAACACCTTCCAGTTTTTTTAGGACGAAAGTGTTCACACGTCTCTTTGCACCCTGTTGGTAATCTTTTTATTTTTATATGTGCTCTGATAGCATGTTTGACAAGTGGGAGGTTATGCACGTTCCCTTGTTTCCATGTACCCATGTTGTTAAACATTGTGATGTGACGTGAAACGTGCCACCTTGCTTTGAAATAATTTACAACACGCATATCAAGCGACTTTTTACCGTATCAATGAAACCGTGGCAGATGCACTACCATATAGTGTTTAGACGCCGACCCACATTGTCTGAGCACGTGGTAAGCCTTATACTATTCAGTTGTGATTTCCATCTTTAGTCAATCTCACAGTTTATCGAACAGCAACATTTCTGAGACCACTTAAACAGTTCCCAAAGCCTACGAGCAATTTTCACCGTGTGTACCAAAATAGTAACTCCCATATGCGATCTGGCTGGTACTTGCACCACCATAACTAATTTTAATCATTGATTACTTCAACAAGTACTGGTAATACTTGTGCAGCTGTTCCTAGTATCGAAAGGAAAAATATCAGTGGCTTTTTCTTGCTACGAATCCTGGCCGTTTCTGTGTAGTATATGGAACAAGCCGTATAAATTTCTCATGTAACAGTGTCATATGATAATGAAATGTGTGTCCACTTTCTGCTTGAAAAGAAATTTGGCAGACGATTCTGTAAATGGGCTTTGAAGTAAATTTTATACAAAGAAACTCTTGGATTTTTTAGTTCCCCTCATTGGTTTCTTGATAAAACACCTTACTCAGAAGTTTGCTGAAATCTCCTTGACGCCTACTTAATGAGATTCGAGAAACACGAAACCAGTACTGAGCTATTTTCAGCAAGTGTAAGAATATTGTGTTCTGCCGAGTATATATAGGGTGATACCTTGAATATCGTGGCAGAGCAGCCTTTTCGCAGCCTATGTGAATTCCATTGATATTAATTGCCCAGCTGCAAAGGACTGGGGTCCATACATTGACATTTCCAAAGTCTTGAATATCGCGGCAGAGCAGCCTTTACGCAGCCTATGTGAATTCCATTGATATTCAGTGCCTACTTGCAAAGAACTGGAGTCCATATATTGACATTTCCAAATAAAAAGTTTATTGTCTTTTCCTATTCATTTCTCGTTTTAGAAACAAGGACAGAAAAGCACATGGGTAATGTTCTGAGTTTTTTAATATTATCGCACTATTGTACCCTCTACAACTAGAAAAACGTTGACTCCAAAACATGACCAAACCAGGCACACAGAAATAAACTGCATGCTCTGAAGGGACCTTCATTCAAGACAACAGCAAACTTTCTGTCCACAAACGTCAGAACTAGTTTACGCCCTGATTTTTTAGACCCCTAGCTTGATTTAACAATGTTTTTTTGCCAATAGTAATTTGGTCAAACTTTTCGCGGAAAAATGCGAAAAATTCAAAGCCTGTAGGATAAAATAAATCTTTAATTTAGGTTTTTCCGACAGACCGTGAGTGAAGAAGCACGCACGTGGTTATAACGCAAGCAGCGTTAATATGTGCACCTTTTGTGACTTTTCTGGAACTCATGAACAGAACCAACTCACTTGTGTTAACTTGTTAGGAACTTGAGGTAAAACGCGGAGTAATAGTAGCAATAGCATCTATACTTTCCTCCTAAGGTATTCTTTGGTTTGCGTCCACTGGTATATGGTGACGTTTTTCCGCTTTAGGTTGGATACTTGTGTTTTCTTATTGTACGAAATCTACTTGTACAGTTCAATGGATTGCGTAGTCTGCGCTTTACGTAATGAAGCTTAATTGTTTGGTCACGTGTTTCCGAAATGATAGATAGAGAGCGAGATATAAGACCGGTATAAGGACAAATCGGCCGATTGCCAGCATCCAATTACGGCTGAATCTCTATGGTCCAGCGTTTGTCCTGTTCGTCGGGTAAAGGCGAGCGCATGCTCACGGGCGCTGCTTTCCACAATCCACTAGCTTACTGCTGAGATTGTGAGAGCAGATGCGGGGGATGCTTTCGGTCCCAAGACATTGGCACTAAGCTCGCCATACTAAAAAACATCTAATAGCTTGTCTAGCCGTCTGGAAAGACCAGGCATCAGGAACGGATCGATGCGTGTGCTGACATATCATCGGCACTCTTAATTGCACCACAATTCTGAATGGCTGGTATGTGTGCTTGAGTGAAGGACACCCAAACAAGACGGTCAACCAAGAAGCATGTTCTCCGACTTATTCTTGCACTGAAAGACGTGCCAGTAAAATGTCAATTATTTGGATGCATTTAGTCTGCCAATTGTTGTTATTGTCTAGTAATTGAGAATGTCAGCAGCTGAATCACTGACATTCAACAAACCTCACTATGCAAGTAGACCTTACTAAAAGTGTCATTCTGTTCATTTTTGATGGCGAGTGGCAAAGCTTGTTCACTGCTCCCGTGCTCGAAGTCTGGATATGTTGCCGGTGGGTAGCGGGTGCTGAAATTAACCGCAAGCAGTTCATGGCATATTGTGTCAGAAAACTTGCTGATACTCATGTTGTTGGTCACAAAACACGCCATAGAAGAGATAAAAGAACGGCTTAGAAACACCGCCGCAGTGGGATAAGCGCGATTTGCTATTCTTGCAGGATTTCGGTCCGTGGAACTTGCTACTCGGAACTGGTCTTCAACCTCACATTATTGTCACTTATTTTTGAAGAACATGGTCACAAACATAAAAAGTGAATGCAAACGACGAATGCGAAGGGGTAACAGGAGAATATGGAATAAAAGAGAGCAACGTCTCATTCGAATAGAGGCCACCTACATTTCCAGTCACGTGAAATGGATCTCAACGTATGTAAAAATTTTGGTATGGAAACACGTGTGTAAAGATCAACAACGGAAGAAAGGACAAACAATGCTGGGTGTTCTTCAAGGCACGGTAAGCGCTAGCACAATCAAGATCCGCACATCAGGCACAAAGTGTCCGTCATACTAGGTCTGGTGCGAGATTTAGTAGCAAAGGTACACTCATGTACCACACATAAAAGTGTCATAAGTGCGCAGAGGACCAACAATGACAAGCAAACACGTCACTGACTGTGACCTTAGAAAGTCCCAGTCCAATAAAACCCTTGGCGGATTGAGGAAAGCAGATCGCTCGATAAGAGATGATCATCGGTTGGTAGACCAAAAGTCGACATCCCAACCGATTGCACGTAGAGCTGAGAGTGTGGCTATGGATTATTCATCAGCACTAGACTTCTGCTTCTTCTCATTCCACACAGTCACTCCGCACCCATCTGGGACTATACTGACATCTATTATGGTTGTTCGGCGATCCCGAACTCTCACGTTAACTTCTTTATACTCAACATATGCACAAATTTCGGTGCGTTCGCAACACGCAGGTTCGTTTCATCGGAGCAGTCAGCTAGGTATTTTTTCGGAGCCACTCGTATAGGCTGATGCCTTGTTTTTTTCTAGCGTGGAAGTGTCTACATTCGGGACATCACATCCACTCGCCACTCACCTCTTGTCCCACGAATCCAGCTCAACATATGCACAAATTTCGGTGCGTTTGCAACACTCAGGTTGGTTTCATCGGAGCAGTCAGCTAGGTATCTTTTCGGAGCCACTCGTATAGGCTCATGCCTTGTTTTTTCTAGCGTAGAAGTGTCTACATTCGGGACGTCACATCGCCACTCACCTCTTGTCCCACGAATCCAATTCCCCCTCTAAAGAAATTACCACCTATCCGCAGTGACCAGTTATGTTTGGCGTCTGAAGGATTTGCTCGAGCTTCCTGGATATTGATTTTGGGATCAAATTAAAATGTTTATTTCCATCCAACTTCACAGCGAGCTTTTAACGTATTCCTTCATGGCTGTATCGTGGAACCTAGATTAACGAATGCAACCAGACGCGCGAATTGAAACACATAATATACCAAGTTGTGAAAAAAATTTCTTCATCATTTCAGAACGTTTTAAAAACGGTTCTTTCTGCATCTGACCACAAGAAAATACATTCTTGTTTACTTGTTTGTTTCCAGACAAAGAAGCAGTTACCGACTGAAGAAAAGACTCAGGTTCTTGAGGAAGAGAGAAAGAAATTAAGAAAACTGATCAATCTGGATGCTCTTTATATTACCTGAACTGTAGAACTTCAAAACCCAAATAATGCTGCTTTTATTCAATTTATCATGTCTTTATATCATGATATGTAGGACAAAATGTAGTTCTGGTGTAAGACAAATTGTTGTGTTTTGGAACTAACGGGCACTGGCCGGATTCGTACGTAGAACGCATCACTGCAAGAACAGACCGTTCATTAGCTCACCAAATTAAAAATGAAATCCCCACGAACGGCAGACATGTATGTCTACCCAGAAAGTGAAGCGTGAGTAGGTCCAGTCAGGGAGTCGGAGTAAAGCGTGCCTACTAACACCTCCCCACTTTGCTCGAGTGATAATGACATGGGTGGTTGGGAAACAGCGAACAAAATTAAAGATGGAACACAGAGAGAACACGACAGCCTCTGGGATTTTGAAGGTAGGCTGAAGAGGTTATTCACTGGGCTTAGCAAGCTCATGGAAAACAGATCCACAGTGGTCAAAGATACCTTTGATACCTAAATAAACATGGACCGTTCTGAAGTTGACCCAAAAACTAAGGTGTCCTATGGTGTTGTTGTGGTGCGTCTCAGAGCCATATAGTGAAGTTCCAAACAGGATGTTTGTTGACAGAGAACTTCTTGTACTGTTCGTTTGAGCATTTTTGGCGAAATTTGTTTACATTAAAGACAACACGTACACTCGTTGGAACAATCCACGTTGGTGATGATACGTAACATTTCCACTACCAAGTCCGGTTATACATCGATGGACGTTCAGGTGCATCGATGTTACTCAACAATTGACACAAGAGATTTGAGAAATGTGGATATCGGTCTATACCTATTTTACGGTTTTTTGAGAATTCCGGATGCATCAGTTAGCAGCGTTCTCCCATGGGTCACCAGATTTCCTCCCACAGTAACCAGGACAGTTTGTATGTTCATTTTTAACTTTTGTTCGAGCTGAGAAAAGCAACAAGCCAATTTTGTCAGAGTAAGTTTTCAGGAGGTCAGAAGCATTCAAAATAAGGTCAGTGGCTGTTCAAATGGTAAAATGGTAAACATGCTAATGAAACAGCTCAATTACAGGGGGCTTTGAAAGACTTGTGACCACGCGCATGGTTCTGGTGATGAAATGGACGGAAAATATGGCATTATCTGAATTCGCAAGTTGACCCGTCGGCTGTCCAGCCAACGCAGTGGACGAATTGCCGAGTTATTCCCATGCTTTGTACGTCCACATGTGGCTATCAGGAGACCCAGTTGGCTTCGCTATCGCTTGAAGGATTCCCTGTAGGCTTCGTCGCAGTCTTTGCGGTTAGCTGTTCTCGCCCATGTCCAGTGACGGCACCGAGGCGTTTGGGTTGTGTTCATCACCAATTCTCCATGAAGCAGAGAGAGAATTTCCGGGTTAATAGACCAGTATTGTGGCATTATAAGGTGACGCACCACACTAATAGACAAGTAAAAAGCCTATGTGACACTTTTTCGCAGTCTTGTTAGCTGTTCTCGCCCATGTCCAGTGACGGCACCGAGGCGTTTGGGTTGTGTTCATCACCAATTCTCCATGAAGCAGAGAGAGAATTTCCGGGTTAATAGACCAGTATTGTGGCATTATAAGGTGACGCACCACACTAATAGACAAGTAAAAAGCCTATGTGACACTTTTGGTAAAGCGGAACTAATTAACGAAGGCGGTGTTGGCGTACCCAGTTCAGTTTTCAACTCGCAAACCGTTCACTGATTTGTAGAATTTCCAGCAGCTACACCTCCGTTCACCGAAATTTGGGAGAAAAGGGAGTGAGAGCCACACACTGGAGGCAAGGGCAAATTACTTCATTAAATTCAGGCGGATCTGTTTGTTTAGCAGTGCATGGATTGACAGCTACGTAGTGAAAGCGATAGTTTTGACGCAACAGCAACTTTGGCTTGGTAACTCAATAACGAATCTTAAGGTCACTAACCATTGGTTTGCCTTATCCCGCGGTTCACATCCGGGAAACAGCAGTTAACAAAACATCTAAGTTGACTGGTAAGTCTTTTTATGCTTCGTAGCTAGGTTCTCCAATTATTATCTCTGATTCCTCTCCATCCGACAGAACGAGCTGTTGGGCCCCAAGTGAGAACAGCAATGTGCCTTCGACCAGATGACGTGAACTCAAGACAGGGTGGCAAACAGATCTTTTCTGAATATCGTCCCACTGAGGCAGTTCTCAAGCGAAATCTCCATCAACCCCCAACATCAGGTACTTTGCACACTCATAGTAAGAGTTGCAAATAAAAATGCTATAGCATTTTGCAACTGGTTACAGTCGGTGTGCTTGCTCACGTGACTTAAGGATTCTCTATCTCATTGTAATATGGTCTATATGTTGATAACTTTACTGCGCTCATCTGATTGTACGAAAGTATTTCGTATTCGAAATTGTTTAAATTCTTTTCCCTGCAGCTGACTGGCGATAATAATAATTATGCTCAATGTACGCATCAAAACCTTGAAACTGAACAGTATTTTTAGTTAATTAATCGTACAAACGAAGACATCTGAATTCATCCGAAAGGTGAATTCAATGCTGATGGGAGGTAACCGCTTCCGGCCCAACCCCCCGTAGACTTAACACTTATTTATCACTTTTTATTAATATTATTACTATTAGACTTAGACTTATTTGACTGTAAATAGTTCGTTTCATTACTCAAAGGCCTCCAAGATAGACAAGCATTGTTTTGAGGAAATCATGTTCGCGAATATGAGTCGTCAGATACTGATTTATGAACAGTTGACTACACGCACTGAATCAACAGAGGTGCTTTCGGTTTATCCAGTATCTATCAAGAACGACGTGTTCATCTTTCCGACAGCAGAATGTCGTTCATGTGGTATACCATACACTCTACTATACTCTGCACAATTTGCAAGACGCCAACAAATGATTCATAGCCCGCAATTTCGAAGAAGAACAAACGTGTTATGGTGTGTTTTTGGTGAAGTCACTTCTAGTTAGAAGCACTTTTTTGCACCGAGCGTAGCGTTTCTTCTGGATAAAACCTACCTACCCGGTAAGATGTTGACAAGGAAAGATCGAGACTTCCCTAATGAAGAAAGAGGCCCATACTGCAAGTTTCTGATCATAATTCATGGAACTCTAAACAGCTTAAATGGTATACTGCATGCACCTTCAAAAGAACTATTCTTTCCCCTGCCTGTTCTTTACAGCAAGTACATTACTACAGTCTGAATAGGTGAGAGTTAAATAAACGAATTTTCAGACCAGCTATTTGTTGCTTTAAAGTGATTTCCTGAAATCGACCGGAGTTGGCGCATCCAATTCCAAGATCTTTTATGATTTCCAGTGAACAGTGATTCTGCTCTCAGGGCAGAGGTCCTATAAAAGGAACTAAACTGACCGATCTCAAACTCATCTCCTTGAGCACAAAGTGTATCCACGAGGGAGCTTCCTACAAAAAATTACCACTTTTCAAGCACGTTGAAGGGGGGGTTATTCGTGTGCCTGGCTAGGATGAAAAATGTTGACTTGACTATTTCGTAAAAGAGATTGTCTGAAACCTGTTTTGTAGGCTGATGGATGTAACACCCTTTTATAAGATCCATGCCAAAATATACCTGTTACATTGTTGCAATTATCAAAAGTCTGGGATCATCTCCTGGGCTTTCCATTTGGTATTCCTTCAAATTATTTGGCCATGTAGATTTAGTTGGTATCCGCTCCTCAGTTATATCAGGTACTCGGTCGGATGCCTTTTGTTATCCGACTTTTCGATTCTGATTGAAAAAATGCGATGATGAACAGCAGGCTATGGGTCCCACTACCCATTGATTGCATTAAAGACTACAACATTTACCAGGCAACACAAACCTACTAGCCTGAGATAAATCGGAAGCGCTCCGTAGAAGTAAGAACTGAAGTTATAAGGGGGGCTGCGTAGGACAAGAATAGGAGCATAGGCGGGTGACAAAGCGCACCAAAAACTGGTCACAGGATACTGTGAACACTGATGAAGGGCCTGATTAGACTGTATTAAAGACATGAAGAATATGCGGCAATCTATGCCACCTAAGAGGTAAATTTAACGGGAAATAGTTGCTTTGGACGTCAAAACGAAAAACGACAAAATTAAGAAATGGAAATCAACTGTTAGTATACACTGGTTGGTAAGGTGCAAACCCCAAACGTGGTCCGCTGAGGTCATTGGGATTCGTCTCCCATCTACGTTCAGTCAGCTCATAAGAGTAAGCCACACTAGTAGCTTTCCCATGCACAGCTGGAGAAAGCAGTGCCTCAGAACGGGTTCAATAGACAGCGTCGAAAATCTTCAGTGTTTTGTTCAGCTTAGTCCGTAGGTTAGCCTGCAAACCAATCAGAACAGACCTTATTCACGAACCCTACCAATGCGATGGTTAATGGTAGGCTACTACCCACCAATAGAAGCTAAAGGTGGATCGCAGTTGTACAGTTTGCTTTAGACAGTTATCGAGACGCGAAACACTTTTCCGTGTTGGATCGTTGGAGCTACAACTCTGGCACATTCAGAGCGAAGCTGTATGAGATCTGTAGTAATCTTTAGGAAGAACGAAAAAACAGAATGTACCTCCCTGTTCAGGCAGCTAAGTCGATGAGCAACTCTTCAGTCTCGGTAATATCCCATATTTGAGCTTGAAAGGTTGCACATGTCAAAAATCTCTCAGATGTCGGGGGCGATACCGATTTGTAGTTCCCTTAGGCAAACATTTCACTTTCGGTCACTGTGTGCCGAACTCACCTGCATTTCCTCTCCCTATGACCATAAGAAAGTGATTCTGTCCTAGTCACTCGTGTCAATAGCCATAGCGCCCCCGGTACTATATATAAATTTAAACCTAAATCAGTGAGCAAAGGAGGCGACTTACTGGATCACTAATAAAAAGGCACACGCACCAGATGTTGGATGCACGGTAGATGTGGACGCCGAAGTTTTGAGAACTGGGCTGCTATTCGAACCACGGATACTTCTGATCCGCACATGAAGGCCATGATGTGGGGACAACCGTAATGAGCTTCCGCTAACGAAAATATGAAACGTCCATTTCTGCCCAAGCGTTTCCCAACATAATCCTTGGTTTTCTAGACCTTCAGAAAGGATATGCAAATACTGCTTTTCTCTTAAAACTCATAGACATTTCCGAAACAACTTGAATGAAGAAGCAGTTTGGCAGTATACTTAATAAAGTCGACGAAATTGCGGCAAATAAGTGAGAATCCTGTGTGACATACAAAGATTCAAACTGTTTTACTAAGTGAGTAAAGTCCTAATTCGCAGTGTGAGATCGGGCAACTGATAAGAACGGTACAGCTGAGGTCAAGGTAGACATGATGATGGGCGAATTTTCACACGCATAAATATCATTCTCACTTGATGAGTTCTTTATCCAAGTCTATCCGTGCTAAAGAAAACAAACGAAATACACTACAAAATTGTTTGATGTTGGTTAGAAAACAGCAGGCCTGTGTGTTTCTGATTAACTTTGGTTTTCAAGCGAAGTTTGACTTGGTCCACAGAAAGAAGACCATATTCGAAGGTTCGGAATGACATTATCACCAACAATTTTTGCATACAAATGGCAAATGCTGTTCCGTCAGACAAAATCTCTGGACAAAGTGCATTTCAGCTAAATGTTCATCTAACTTTAGCCAAAAAGAAGGCGGTAGACTTCGAAGGTTAGATTTTCGAAATTCATTAATAGGCAGTTCCAAAGTCAGAAAATTAAAAATGTTAAATGTCCATCTAACTTTAGCCACAAGGCAGGTGATAGACTTCGGAGATTAGATTTTCGAAATTCATTAATGGGCAGTTCCAAAGTCAGAAAATTAAAAATGAAAAGGTGAATCGGCTGTTCAGCTGTAATACCCTTCCGGTAACTCGCTGCCACACGAAGGGAGTGAGAGGGTTGCCCAGGCGTGGACAGGAACAGTCGAGATGTCAGAACTGAGTTCGAACAACGGAACTTCTAATCAGTAATTTTGAGCCTAACCGCCGGACCTTTAAATCTCATCGTTCGTGATGTTATTACGATCACAGATCTACGAGTCCATCCCTAACAGTGGGGTCTGGTCGGATCATGTGATAACGAGACCCCTAAAACACAAGTCACACATACCGTTTTCAAGCAACTAACCCACAATTCGTCGTGTATTTTGTCAGGTGGGAGTTTCGTGTTACAAGGCATTAAACATCAGCCTTTTCACCACTTGAAAACTTTGCAATGGTAGCATTTCTGCTGCAGACAAAATATTGGGCTGATGGAATGCGAATCTTCTTCAGCGATGCTTAATCTGCCTTTAACGCATATCAACCCATTACTTTGGCTCCATTGCCATCCCTTCCCTTGTGTCGAACGACCTCATTGTTATTGGCCGCTACTGGGGCAGGAAACTCAGGACGATAGCACCCCTAAAGAGCGTTAGTTGTTGTGACGGTGATGGACAGTCATTTTATTTCAAAACGATATATTTTAACGGGCCCCAATAGCATAGCCAGCGTCGAACTAGAGGTAAGATGTTCGCTTGATTCAATGGATAAACACTCAGCCACCGGGTAGCTTCACAAAAGTCGGTGATGACATTAGCGGAGCGGACTGAATTGCGGCCTCAGTGTAGGAAGCTATGGTGGCCGTGATACGATTTCAAACTTATTGGCTCTTCCTTTAAACTCGGAAGAATTTGGCTTGTTCTTTCATGGACATTGTCTACACCCAGTGTGCTAAGTTTGCTTGTGCCATCATATTGATTCCTCGATCACAGTAGAAGTGTTCAAGAACTATACTGTTGAGAGACTCCGGCGTCTCGTTTTGCCAGAGCCATCCTCTGACACGACCATCCTGTGAGATTTGTGCGGGATTTTTGCCATAGAATCTTTATCAGACCTAACAATTAAAAAGATCTCCCTACTCTAATTGAACACAACTTCACCTAAAATGTGTCTTAACTCATTGGTTTATGTTAAACTTGTTTTCATTGGAACCCAGCTCCACAATGTTGCATGACTTTCCGCTTCCACAATACCCTCACCCGGCTCACTCGTGTTTGCTCGCATTCTGTGCACTTAGTGTGATTTCCCAGGCCAATATTGAAAGTTAGATAGAGATATCATTGATCTTCGTCAGTTAATGGAACTTAGGTTGGGAAGCACACAGGGTTTCATAAGTTATGTTCAGGTAAGCCCAGGTATCGAAAGTCAATACATTTGTCTCAAAAACGCCTTTATATAAATGAGGTATGCTTGTTCGAACCGATTTCCCATTGAAATACCTAAGAGTGAGAAATGACTGATAACAAGTAGTAGATTAACTGCTATGTTCTCCCAGATACAAGTTATCTGATCCTCCACAGCTTTTGTTCGAGAAAATATATTCAGGTGTTGCTAGGTGCGGGATTTAGTAAAACACACACTCACAAGACCCTCGTTTGGACAATCGTCCTCCTGCCCTCCCGTAGTCGTTCTGGTAAGTCCACACCACTGGAGTCGAGTTTCACTCTTGTTAGAGTTCATCAGCAGTGCATAGCCAATGGCCGTGCCGGAGTTTGAACTCCGCACATCTGACATGCGAGGCGAGCTTGTTACCGAAACTCCACCAGCGCACGCCGGACTTATCTGGATTTTTACGTTTGAATTGGTGAACATGTTCGCTCTTGACACCAGCACGCGCAACGCCTGACGCCTCGAAAGACGACCCAGTAACATACCTTGGTTATGTCGGTCAACTGGCCAGACAGCCAGGACTTCCCAGATAGGTATCGCTACCAGAATGATTGCGTGAGGACAGGAAGACGATTGTTCAAACGTGAGTATTATGAGTATGTGTTCTACAAAATCTCGCAACCACCAGCACCTGAAACAAAAAGTTTCAAGCGTCTGTGGCGTTATCTGACTGGTGGGCTTATCGATCGACACAACCAAGGTATGTTACTGGGTCGTTGTTCGAGGCGTCGGGTGTATCGCTCACATTACTCAGGCGTGAACTTGTTCACCCGTTCAAACGTAAAATATATTTAACTTACGATTAAGGAAGCACTCTGGTTAAGACATGTTGATGAATTTACTGGTACTCTTTGGGGTTAAGATGAAATGTTTCGGAATCAATAGCGTGGAACAATATTCTTTAGAGAAACAGAGCAGTCTAGAAAAGGTGAAAATCATTCACATTTAATTAAACTTTTGCTGTACAATGCTTAACTTATTGCATGTGGATACAAACTACGCCTAGTTGGTTCATAAAGATATGTTTAGTAACCAAACCAGTAACTACTTGAAACGAGTAATCTTTGGTATGTGCATTGTAACAACATATGATACAGAAGTTCTGATTTTCCGTTTGTAATAAAATTGAAGTAAGGACTCGGTGTTTGATACAAGCAGTAATTCAACTGCCCTAATAGATAGCTGGTTCAGTTATCTATGAATATACCCAAATTGGAATGGTAAGCTTTGGAAGAGAATCGCCTGCGTTTCAATAGACATAAGCTCTGGCTGAATAACTCGGGCTAACCTGGACAAATTTATTACCTGTAGCCTGGGACTCACTTAGGATTTAGAGTGCAAAGTTGAAGTTTCTGGACCAAGCAAACATGCCATGTAATTCGCTGAGATGAAATTCGTATCTACTAAGAAAAAAGTCACAAAGGAACCATAGCGTTGTGTCTTCGAGAACCATTCCGTATTTTCGAAAGGATTACTGTTCGTTTGAATGCATAGTTGACGCAAACGCAAGAGGTTGTGAACAAAAGGGCGTTCTTGCTCTTTCGCAATATATGAATCAGGAGTAAACGTTCAGGGCGTTCTGCTCTTTCGCAATAAAAGAAACAGGAGTAAACGTTCCAAATGCTGTTGGCAAGCAACTCTGGAGAAAATCTCCCCAAGGGACTTGGGATAGCCGGCATAGCTCTATGGTTTCACATTCAGGGTTTCAGATAATCGTGTAGAAATATTAGTAGCTCGGGTGCGATAAACATAAAACATTAAGGCGTGAAAGTAAAATAACGCCTTTTTGAAGTACTGGACTTAATTTGATTAAGAAAATTCAATATTTGTTGCCAGCTTCAGCCGGCAATATCATCTTCATCGGTATAGGTGGTAAAGGGTTCAGGTATTTTGGAGAGCTATGTATTTATACATAATTGGTTTAGAACCACGCCGTGAACGTTCACAATACCTGCTGATCCTTCCTGGCTAACACAGAACTTACGGGCGATATTTACACAGCCAGCAGCTGTCAATCTTTGTTTCAGACTATCACTTTGCCACCCTGGCGACCACCGTTTTGTCTACTACTGATGGGTCAACAACAGCTCGTGCCGCTGTCTTACTGAAGTATGTCAACGGCGAAATTCACCGTTAAAGCCTTAGAAAGAGAGCGCAGTGTACCAGAAGTGTTGGATTCATTCAGCTAAATAGTGTTTAAGTGAGCAGGAAAGAGGGCTTCTATTGACTCAAATTATACCACCTAAAAGTGGAGGAGCCTAACGTGGTGTATTGGTATGTATGCCTTCGTGACCAAATAAGCTATACCGGGGGAGGGTGTGTGCGATACTCGCAGTCTCTAGTCTCTGGTCAATGGTTGGAGATATGATTACCACATTCTCCTGGCCTTCCAGATTGTTGGTTGAACTATCTGTGGTGACGTATTCTTTGGAACACCTAACGCAGTGCTACTTCTCATCAAACACCTATTTGCTGCTGCGGTCAGGTTGTTGAAAAACGCTTCGCTTGAGGAAGCTAATCATCATCTCTGTAATTATGGACATTCTGACAGGATCCCAGCCCGAGTACAACCATGGTTTCCACTGCTAAAAATACTGTATGGTCATGCCGGCCGTCACATGTTGCCATCGTGCAGGTTGCCTTACTTACTGCATAGTGCGGGTAAGTGAAAACAGGTTACTATTGAAGTCTTCCTTCTTTCTGGTTCTCATACTTTTTCTTCCCCCTTCCTCCCTTTCTCCCCCCTTCCGTCTATCTGGTCGACTTGAATGTTTGCATTTTGAGGTAAGCATGACAACAGGGTACTCAAAAACTGGACTTGCTTGACACTGACCTGAACTGCGTATCAGAAACAAGAATTCAGAATGCCAGCAAAGCTACCGAGCTCACCGCCCCACTATCCTCTACTGGCTTCCAGCTGCGCAACTCCGGCGATCCAGAGGCTGCTGTGGCATGATATTCAGAGATCGACACTGCCGTTATTTATTGGACAGAATGATTCGTTTTTGACTGGATACCTGTTGGTAGTCACCTCTGTACAGTTCGCCTGGCATTTTCCGTAAGAAGTTGTCAGTTTGTCGTGTCTGTTTACGCCCCAAAACCATAGTAGCCATAACACCATCAGGGGGGACTTTCATGACATTTCAAATGCCTTCATACAGCGAGCCAAAAGCAAGGATATCATTTAAGCTGTCGAAGACCTGAATGCACAAGCGGGCAGGTTTACAGCACCTAAGATCAAATAAGTGATCCCAAAGACCTGACTCGATGGGCACAAAAGATGGTGGACGACTTTTACATCAATATATTGTTTTTATGCACTAGCAAGTTCCCCAATTACCGAAGTTGCCTGATCATATGGTGTCTTATAGCAATGTACCAGTCACGGACACAGGTTGACCACATCGCCAGCGGTGACCAATGATGTAGAATAGTAAATGACTAGCACTCGTTTTAGAACACTCACGTGGATTCCGACCAACCGCTTATCTGGAGTCGCTTATCTGCTTGTTTATCATGGCCGCATAAGAGACGTACAAATGGGTAAGTAATTAGAAGACTGTCGTAATTCAAACTTAAAATAAATTTCTGGACGCCCTTTTAACCGCTCCACCGTCTAATACCTATTCTTAGTGCGGCGAGATCGTCGAATCTTTGCATAGTGTCTGAAGTTCCGCTTGTAGCAAGGCACCAATAGCTTTGCTCAAACAGATACTGAAGAGGAGATGTCCGCGGATTATTTCCAGCCATTTGTGCAACCGATCCCCTAGAAGCCGTTGTTGATCAGAACCACCATGCATTCAAGTGGCGCGCCCATTTTCAGTAACGAAGGTCTCCTCGATGACTGGATCGAATAAGCTTAGAAACAATCGTCCCAGCTGTTACCATGCAGGCGGATCCATGGATAGCGAACCTGGAACCCCTTCTACCTCGAAGTTTTAATGAACGCATATCTTTCCTCTTGTTCCAGACTATCTCTCACCCGCAGTGTAAGGGAGTGGAGATGGAATGCTCAGTCAGCAGTTGTCTGGACTGTCCCAGACAAAATAATGATCAGTGATAGTGTCCATTTTCAAAAAGGGGGCCAGTAGTGAGTGCAGTAAACAGGTGGATGAAGTTGACCGCAGTTGCAAAGAGAGTCTTTGTGTCACTTGTTCTTCATTGCTTCATGGTGCCCCGACAGCAACAAGCCGAATCCCGGTCGGGTAAGGGTTGTTTTCCGATTGGCTGAATAAGAGTCTGGAGTTGTATGCACCTCGGAACGATTGTGATAGGCTAGCACTAGGTCCATTCCCAATCCACTTTTATCCTTTTTTCTCCACAACAAGCATTCCAAATGTGTTATGGTTGTATAGCAGCAAAGCAAATTGACGTTGCAATGTGGATGGCAAAGTTGCTAATAAGGATGACACCTATAACAGTCTATTTTTCCGAGCTTAACTTTCCTCGTTTCTCATTGGATTTCTTTCATTTTCAGCATTTGTATAAGCGTACTTCTTACCCGCAAAGTAGGATGCCGAATTTTACCATCCATTTGGGGCTGGGTGATATTTTACCACACAGTCATAAGAGGGGGTGGATATGACGTGTTCGGAACTACCGTGGTACCGATTTTCAGTTCGACTACCATATTTCACAAACTAATTGAAGACTATAGCCTCAACAGCTTCTTATGTGTGGGCAAAACACCAAAACTTGCGGTGCGGAAAACAAATAGCTCCCAAGATAAATGCACAGCCGTAACCCAAGTTATACAAAGCACAAAATTGTAGGTATTTTAATTGGGCAACCACTAGATCACCTTACATTTAAATTAGATGACGTAAACTGAAAGTCCGATTCAGACTACCAAATCCAGTCAATTGCGTAAGCTGCATGAGTTTTATCCTGAGCAACAAAGAACGACAAAGCTCAAGCTGCTCAAGGGGACTCACATTTGCTGATAATGAATACGGTCCACATTCACACCAGGTAAAAGGAATACGGCCTTCGCTGCGGACTTATTTATTAGGAAATGCCAGCTGACCGGTTACAGACCATTGGACAGGGAAGCAAAACCCTCATTTGCATCTTATTTACAAAACTGGACGTCCATCTTCTCTTGAACGCGTCTTCCTGAACTTTCCTGGATGTTCATTGACTCCAATCATTCCTCGGTCAAATCCAAGCAGATGTTACAAAGCGACTCCACAAATTCCGCAACAGATCCCCCTTTTCAAGAGACGCGAAGGGAAATTCCATGAACAGTACATAATACTCACGTCTCTCTACATCAGTAGTATCACCGTTACACAGGTAGCACTCTATTTCGCCAGTAGTGAGTGCAGTAAACAGGTGGATGAAGTTGACCGCAGTTGCAAAGAGAGTCTTTGTGTCACTTGTTCTTCATTGCTTCATGGTGCCCCGACAGCAACAAGCCGAATCCCGGTCGGGTAAGGGTTGTTTTCCGATTGGCTGAATAAGAGTCTGGAGTTGTATGCACCTCGGAACGATTGTGATAGGCTAGCACTAGGTCCATTCCCAATCCACTTTTATCCTTTTTTCTCCACAACAAGCATTCCAAATGTGTTATGGTTGTATAGCAGCAAAGCAAATTGACGTTGCAATGTGGATGGCAAAGTTGCTAATAAGGATGACACCTATAACAGTCTATTTTTCCGAGCTTAACTTTCCTCGTTTCTCATTGGATTTCTTTCATTTTCAGCATTTGTATAAGCGTACTTCTTACCCGCAAAGTAGGATGCCGAATTTTACCATCCATTTGGGGCTGGGTGATATTTTACCACACAGTCATAAGAGGGGGTGGATATGACGTGTTCGGAACTACCGTGGTACCGATTTTCAGTTCGACTACCATATTTCACAAACTAATTGAAGACTATAGCCTCAACAGCTTCTTATGTGTGGGCAAAACACCAAAACTTGCGGTGCGGAAAACAAATAGCTCCCAAGATAAATGCACAGCCGTAACCCAAGTTATACAAAGCACAAAATTGTAGGTATTTTAATTGGGCAACCACTAGATCACCTTACATTTAAATTAGATGACGTAAACTGAAAGTCCGATTCAGACTACCAAATCCAGTCAATTGCGTAAGCTGCATGAGTTTTATCCTGAGCAACAAAGAACGACAAAGCTCAAGCTGCTCAAGGGGACTCACATTTGCTGATAATGAATACGGTCCACATTCACACCAGGTAAAAGGAATACGGCCTTCGCTGCGGACTTATTTATTAGGAAATGCCAGCTGACCGGTTACAGACCATTGGACAGGGAAGCAAAACCCTCATTTGCATCTTATTTACAAAACTGGACGTCCATCTTCTCTTGAACGCGTCTTCCTGAACTTTCCTGGATGTTCATTGACTCCAATCATTCCTCGGTCAAATCCAAGCAGATGTTACAAAGCGACTCCACAAATTCCGCAACAGATCCCCCTTTTCAAGAGACGCGAAGGGAAATTCCATGAACAGTACATAATACTCACGTCTCTCTACATCAGTAGTATCACCGTTACACAGGTAGCACTCTATTTCACTCTCGCACGAACCAATCACAATGAACATGCAGTTACATGGAAAATTAATTTATTCTAAAAAAACCATCACAGAACAATAGTGGTTTTCGTGGTAAGTAGAAATCACAGTTTGTTTATGAGAACCTCAGCTTCTCTTTTAGCCTAAATAGAAATAAATGGTCAGTCACAACTGGTTGACTTGATCCAATTTACCTCCAATGTCTCCTGATCGTTATCCTGGCAATCAAGCACCTTCTGATAGTATATTTTTGCCTTTTCATTCTGCTTTAGCGCTGCATAACACTTGGCAATATGGAAGGCGTTATCAGCGTAAAATCGAGGGGAATCTTAAAAGAAGCGAGTTAATGAGAACAATCACAAACACAAACATTTTTCGCTTTCCAACAAGTAACGAAGAGACTAGCAAGGTGATATCCAGTTGGTTTTGATTTGATGAAAGCGATCTACCTACCTCTTCATAAGTGGATTCCGGAGGAGTTGTGAAGAAAACTTTAGCCAACTGACGCTTGATCCAGGGCAAGCTTGTTACCGTATAGCACCTAGTCCAGGTTTGAAACGATGATCGCGTATTTGCAAACCTACCAAACACCCATTGAATGCAGTGTGGCAAAATCTGTCGGTTCCGCTCTCAAGGCTTTCTACATAGGCAAAATAGCCGTTGAAATTCTCACGTAAACGTGCTTACCAGCCAATGATCGCGCATGATATAGGAATTTTTGATCCGTTGATCAACACCCTCGGATTTCGATCGATAATTCAAACAAATACCGTACCACTAACAGTCCCAATTAACGCATCATTTTCACGTTTGAAATTAACTCACAGAATTGCATTTTGGATCATTATCATTGATTGCCATTCCGGCTTTCGCAGCACTCATACCTTCTTCGAAGTAGTCTTTTCGCTCCTGTAGGTCTTTGGTTTCTGGTAACAAAGCTGCAATTCAAGCAAATTTACATTCGACAAGATTCGACTTACCCACACCACGACATGCACGCGCCAGTCTCCAATACAATTCAGTTTCCTTCATTCCACCATCGATCGCCTTTTTTAGACGGTCGTATGCCTGTTTATCTTGGTGGTTGTCGTTGAGCTTGTCTACCTCCTCTATGATAGAACTAATGGACTCGGTCATCTTTGTAGCGTATAAGGAAATTATTCAACTGACTGGCTCATGAATGTGAGTGACTGATATGCATGAGTTTATGCGACTTAGATATTAATGTGTCTACGGTATATGGTGTACAGACAGACAGTATGCAGCGCTGGGCGTGGCCTTGTTACCAAGCCGATCGCGTGAGCGCGTTTTGACGTGTTAATTTTAAAATGCATGCTATCCAATGAATTCATCACGTTTACAGCTTTCTGTGATGCTGAATGACTAAGACCGGACAGAGCCCTGCCACTCAGAGCTGAAGCATCATTACACGTTAATGATGGCAACGAACCCTATACATTACCTAGTTATTTTGCCCACTCAGTGAGGCAAGTTTGCATCACATCAGTTTGACGACACACCTGTTCGTGATCGGATGTTTAACGAGTTGAACGGAGAGTACGCATACACTATGCCTGCCATTGACCCTTTTCATGCAGTTCAAGTGCAGTTATGGGCCTGGATGAATGGTATCCCGTCACTTTCTAAACTACTATTAAATCTGGGGTAGTGCATCATCCTGCTTGTTTTCTTTGAAATGAGGTCTCGTCCTTCTGTGTCACTATATTTGTTGTTGTCATCCTACTCATGTATTTACTCTGACTTTTCAATGTAATAAACTGAGATTGGACAACAAACTGGCACACATTGGCATAACCTGTAAGTTTCTCGCACGGTCCAGGGTTGTTGGAATGAAGATGCTCTGTTCAATTCTTGGATGAGATCCTCCGGAAGTTCTACATCACGCTTTGGGATGTGCTTCACGTTTATGTGTGCAGTACTACAGTAATACTGGGCCATATCAGACCAAAGGCTCGTGTTTGTGAATCAGCCAGTCGATATGATAACTCAATTCATCCATTTGGCAGTTGCACAGGTATAGTTGGACTGGCAAAAGACCAAATCACTGCTCGGATATGGAGGGTTAGGACGCATTTGAAGAACCACCGAGGTATGAAAAAGATTAGGAAACGTTTGGGTGCTATTGGTGCTGCTTGCCTTCCAGAATAAGGACCAGACGATCCTCACGGCACATGGTTGAAGACGCTGTAGGAAATGGTTGCTAATCGATATTTTTGGCGTTCTTGTCTTCAGTTTCTATCCAGATTGTGTGAATGAGTGCATGGAAGTGTACACACCTCAGCATGACTGCAGTAAGCTAGTATCAAGTCCATTCCTTGTCCACGCTTATCCTTTTCTTCACAATAACGCTTTCAAACAAATCATGGTTACACAGTAGCGAAGCTTCAGTGGTGAACACTGATGTTATCCTGTCGATGATGATGATTTCATTCAAGTTCATGGCATGTTCCGTAGTGGTATGACACGTGTGGATTTAGGGCTCAGTAATGCATGAGGATGCACCACTAAAAGCGATATCTGTCACCTCACTTGATGTGGCGCGCCAGTGGCTATTATAACTGACAACAGTCCGGTAGTTATGCCTTGTCACCCAAGCTTTCGCTTCCAATGAGCAGCTGCACCATCGGTCACTTCAATAAAACTATTCGAAACCAATAAACCGGCTTGACCAATGAGTGGGAAATCCGTACCTACTCTGTAATTCTCACTGAACGGGAACGTAGGTGCTAGAACTACAGTACCCGTATTACATAGTTTATAGCTCAAGTGTTGTAATCAGCAATCCTCAATTTGCTAGCGGAAAAAAGAACGTGAAATGATGGTCGTAAGCAGTGGACGGAATTTCATTAGGACCGTAATGGCTTCTTTCTAGTTTTCAGACACACCATTGCTCAGGATGATAAAACAGTGTATTCAGATTGTTACCTTTTACTATGTATAATGCTAGGTCAGGTGCTCCCAAAGAAGATAAACTTGTCTCCGCCAGCGGTAGTAATCCTACTCTCCATGGAACATCTTTTAAATTTCATAGGATGTGGTCAATACAGTCGCAACAATGCGCCTTAGAGAGTGGCTGAACATCAGATGTCACAAAAATAGAGTCTTTTAACAATTATCCGTTAACCGATGTTTCACCGCATTTTGGTTGGGCGAAGTGAGGTATCGTATTGCAATCTGGAACATGTGTTCAGTAGAGCGTTTTTGGGAACTTTTCAAAACCGTGTACTACAAACAGATGAGGTGTATTCAGCACTTTCTTCCGAGAGAGCTTATTTACATGAGATCTGTTGCTTTAGAACAACCGCCAATTTGATGCCATGCTGACTGAGACGGCATCCGAAGACCGCTTAAACTAGAACAGCCATCTGATTCGATTCTGGCCTAGCTTTTTTCTTCGACTGTATAGTATAGCGAGCTTGCGTCTATTTCTGTGTCGGTCTGTCACATCAAACTACTTTGATGGACTCCCACCGAAAATGGGCGATGTCACATACGGTTTGCTCTGGGCTTCGTGTCAACTCACCTGAACATCCCGTGGCTGGCGTAGGCAGGAGAGAATGGTGAATAGGAGGGAGCGCTTCTAAATCCACTATCATGCCCAACTGATGGCTCGTATCATTAAAATCAGGCGAGCACAGCTGAAAAACAGAGACCCCCAGTGCACGCAAAAGAGCATCTAGTGGCCCGTACAAAAGAGTAGACACATCGTAGGCACATATTCGTTTATTCACCCATCTTACACCACAATACGAAAAATAACTAACGAACTGCAGGTTAGTTCTGCTTATACTAGTGGCATTTTAAGTATTATTGTGAAGTGGCCACTGGCTTTTTTCATTGATATCGAAATACTAGATTTTCGAAAAAAATATCACATTGTTCACCTGAGAAGTACAAGGAGCAGTCCTTGGTACCGTACCACACATTAAAAGAGTGTAGTGCTTCGTTTCTTTAGGCAATGACTGTCGTCTGGAAGGTTTATAATCGGTTTTGGGTTCATGATCAATGCGAATAATCTGCCCGAATTGTACGAGGCGCCACTACAACCAGCATGGCTAAATGATCAGTGAAACCAAACACTTGCCCTATCCCTGTTTGTTGGACAGCCTCTGAATGCACCACTGCCGAATGCTACGATTTTGGCACACAAGCTTCTTCAATGCGTGTGGACAAGTTGCTGGGTTGGTCGGCCTAAGGCGCACTGAGAACCGTCTGGAAGATCTTTTTCACGCTATACTTGAATGCAGAATCACTAGGTCATACCGCCGATGAGTTGTGGGAATCGATAGCGTCGGTTATAGTTTAAATCCGATCCTGCTTTTGCCGGTGCAGTGAATAAGGATCGTCGAAAAGCGTTCTCGGCCTCACCTGCCTGTTGTTCCCGAGCATCCAATGTTGGGAAAACATCTCGCCGCCAATTAGAAAGAATAAACAAACACACTCTGAAGGGTCTCTTGTACATCAACACCAGACCGATTTCCAGCGCATTCGAAGCACACTTCAGTGACCAAGTCCAGAGTAGTCCAAAAAGTACATTGACTCAAAAGGATCCTAGTTGAATCGCTGAATCGTGACATTCTTCAACTGGATGTGATGCACAAGGGTGGCCCTAAATTTCAGCCGGAAAATGTGAGATGCCGCAGTGTATTTTTTCGTGTATTTTTCCTTAAAGTGTACATCGAATATCATCGCCGCTGAAACATGAGGCGGCCAAATTAGGTTGAACAATATCGATAACGAGAGATTTAGTAGAGATTCAGCTGGGTATCCTGTTAGAGCCGAATTATTGTGCACCTGAATGTAATGCGTGCAACTCGGGTTCGAGTGGAGCATAAATTCGACGGAAACTCCTGAACTGCGCCTAACTGATGAGCTTTAAAATGCGGAAACCGGTCGTTGACAGTCACAGCGCTTTTAGGAAACTTGCGAGTAGCATTCCGTCAGGAAAGTCAAGATCAGCTTTATACATCCCGAGGTTTTCAGTATGAAAACTCGTAGCGGATGCTTAGAATCGGGGTAAATGAACGAGAAAATGGTTGAAAGAGCCCAAACGAAGTAACCTTGACAGGAAGGTTTGGAGATCCCACCACATAATAACCCAGGGATCACAAAGCTCCGGTACACGGGGGTTCTCGCATGTAATAGCCTGTACTTTGGTAGCATGCAAGAAGCCGATGTGGCCTGCGATATAAATACAGCATATGCTGACCGTATGCCTGACAAAGACCCTCCCGTGGATCCCGCTTATAGATAGAGACTCTTACCAGCGAAAAAACTAAAAAAACGTGGAATATGACAGAACCAAACCCCACAGAGGACAGCGATGTAATAACACACCTATAATATTTTAAAAAAAAAACAGCCAGTGCTGTCAGTCTCAAGGTATAGATAACGGGTTTCGGGACTGATCCATGGATCAAGAGTATTTAAAATACCGTGGGCAGGTGTAAACAATTTTACACAGAAACGAAGCACATGGTGATATTTTTAGAAACAACAAGACTGTAACAAACTGTCGACATTCTATTGAAATATCCTCTTCAATCAATTGGAAAATATTTGGGACCAATAAGGTAGTCATCGTTTATCCAACCACTGAGACGAAATTTCTTTTTGTTTGGCTTCCATTCCAGCCTGTTTATTGGTCGTTACCCACAAAGTAGTTGAGTTGCCTGTTTTAATATGATTCGAACAGTGTCACGAACGGTTCTCCCGAAAAACATTCGAATTTCATAGTTTCACAACAAGGGACTCTTCTCCTTCTGTAAGTAACCTAGGTCTCTATGTCCTATGAATAGAATGGGGGCCTTAGTGTGTGAATTCATATCTTCACGCCGGACTGCGACACTTGTCCTTCACTTATACTGGGAACTGCAAGCGGCCTTGTCGCACGGCTAGTGAAACTACTCCGGTTTGTGACGCATCAATCTGTGTGGTGCCCCCTCGCGTTGTGCAAGGGTACCGTGAAAACCAGAGTTCTCTTCATTGTAGGAATATCTGAACTGGTTATAAGCTACTTACGGTAAAGGAGTAGCTGAACGAGTGAGATTTACAATGTTCATCATTGGATATGACTACAGATTTTTTAAATATTTCCGGACCCACACCATCCTTTT